ATGACAACGGTGATAAGAGTGAAAATTCTATAACGCTTCGCGAGATTAAGTGCGCGTATCGAGTAAATTTCACAAAACCTGATAACATCGGTTCGCTACTGGGTTTCTCGTCTCGCGTGTTACAATCGAATAAATGGTACGCGTCCGATAAGCCGATAAATATTATGGCTATTAATCTCATTAGAGTAGAGTGCAACGACAGGAGCGTATCACAACGACAAATCCGCGCATACTATACACAAGTTCAAGCCTAATGTTCCACCCGGATATAAAGTGTCGGAGATCCCAGCGCAGATCATTTATTTCCCGATCATCGCGCGGACCATTACTGATATAAATGTGCGTGTCGTGGATCAGAACGGAAGATTAATCGATTTTCGCGGCGAAGAGATCACATTTCGTCTGCACGTGCGGCGAAGACAATAGAAAGGCGCGCGATGCTCGTAGTGAACGGATCGAATGCGATTAACGCGCCCATCGTCGCTATCGCGTCGCCCCTAGACGCGAAAAAGAGAAAGAAAAAGGGAGGAAGGTTAACCGCCGCTAACGCGGCTTTCCTGCGCTCTTTGGGCTTCGTCGTACCGAGAACCGTTTCTCCATAAAAGTGGAATGTGCGACATTCTAAGCATCGGCGGGGAGCCGATCTTCGACGATCGTATTGTCAAGATCGAAACTCACACATACAATACTTACGCCAATACTACATTTGGGAATAGCGATGAGATACGAATTCCTATACAACAGCAAGATCTGTACACATTACCGTGCGATAGTTTTCTCTATATAGAAGGTAGACTCGAATCCAAAGAGTCGCGAGTGCGCAAGAGGAAATCGCGTCGGTGACGAAGCTGGTGAACAATTGCGCGGCGTTTATGTTCGAGGAGATTCGCTACGAACTCGACGGTGTGGAAATCGATCGAAGCAGAAACGTTGGAATAACGAGCACGATTAAGAATTACGCGTCGCTGTCAGTCGAAAAAAGCAAGATATTAAAGAACGCCGGATGGGATTTATCAGCGGCAACTCATTCGTCGATCAACGATTTCAACTTTTGCGTACCTCTCAACATATTATTAGGTTTTTGTGAAGATTACAAGCGTGTCGTGATCAACGCGCGACACGAACTTGTTCTGATACGAGCGCGTAATGACAACAATTGTATCATATCGCGTGAAACGCAAGAGCCTAAAATCGTTTTAATAAAGATACAATGGCAAATGCCTCATATAGTGTTAAACGATATTAATAAATTAAGATTATTGCGCACGTTGGATAGCGGACGATATCTGAGTGTCGCTTTTTGCTCGTGGGATTTCTATGAGTTTCCGCTTCTACAGAGCACGACTAAACATTCGTGGGCTGTCAAAGCGGCGACGCAACTCGAGAAACCGCGATACGTTATCTTCGCGCTACAGTCCAAAAAGAAGAACGTTCTATCCGAGGAGCCTTCCCTATTCGACGATTGCAAACTAACTAATGTCAAACTGTATCTTAATTCCGATTTTTATCCTTACGACGACATGAATTTAGATTTCGATAAGCGCAGAGTCGCAGTGCTATACGATATGTATTCGAAATTTCGAAGAACGTATTACGGATGAGACAATGACGAAGCGCTCTTAAATCTGAATAAATTTTTAGTCTATGGCCCGCTCGTAGTCATCGATTGTTCACGACAAAACGAATCGATTAAAAGCGCCACCGTGGACGTTCGCATAGAGTTCGATTGCAAGGAGAATATTCCCTCTAATACCACAGCTTACTGTCTTATCATTCACTATCGAGTGGTGGAGTACAATCCGCTCACCGACGTTGGGCGCAGAATCGTGTAAGCGCGATGATATTCAAAATATGAAGAGAGCGCTAAAATTGCCCGTGAGATGGCGCTCGGCTCGATCGGGGGTCGCACTTACCGACTCGCCCTACGTACCCCTCTCCTCTCCCCCCTGTCCACGCGTCCCTCTCGGTCGTCTACAAACTGTTCTAATCCATATTTCCATCCTTTTCTATCTCTCTATCCATCTCTCTCGCTCTCATGAAAGTGAGTTATTAGCAG